CATTCAGTAAATTTGTTTGTGGCCTGACCAAGGAGGCCCGATATGGTCAAAATTCTCCTTTTGTGGGGAAAAGCGTTGATTTGGCTTCACACTTTGATTTGATTTCCAACTTCGGGGTCCGCGTGGGTTTGTATATTAATGGCTTTTATAATGCCAAGCCAACGTATGTGTATTTGCGTACATACTATATATTCTGACCATCTATGTGGGTGTTTCCTGGGGCCAATTTAACCGTCAGCTTCTCGCCCCCATTTGTCTGCCTTTCGGTCGATTGGCCGGAGGCTCCTTTGATTGAACGCTGCTCATAATTGATACATTCGGAATAAATCTGGTTGACCCATATTTTCTTGGGTTATGCTGCCGGCTTTTGCTGACGATGCGGTAATGAAATCGGGTTGCCCTTAAAAATGCCTTTCCTTGATTGATCTGAGCCATTGAATAAGTCGATCTGGCCCTATTGTATAAATATTTTTAATCAACGAGCTTACAATGTCAGAGAAATGTGTAAAAACTATATGCGTTGATGGGAACTGGAATATATGAATTCAAGTTGCCCGCATTCTCTGTGTTTAAACTCTTTTTTAATAAAACTGTGGTTTTATTCGCATATTTTAAAGATATTTATGAGCTTTGAGCAAAAACCAGGCGACCTTTCCGCACACATGACGTCCAGGCGACTTCCGTTTCCGCTCTGGCTGCGACATGGGAAAACTTTTAGCATTTATCGTATGAATTTCTGAAGCCATTTCTATGGGGTCGTTTTCCATACAAAAAAAAATTCAAATGCCTGTGCAGTCCTTTTGTTTTACTTAACCAATTCCCTTTCCCTAAGCTGTCACCCCTCCATTGGAATGCATTTGGCAGAGAAAGTTTTGCGCCTCCGTATAGATTTCTTGGCACTTCATCTTAAATTTGTTTAGCTTGTAATCCTTCGATTTCCATTTCCCCCAATGAAAAATGTATTTCAAGCGAATGCAACGCTGGCAGTTGAGCAAACCAAGCCACCTCAGCCCACAACATTTACACTTTCAACTGCAGACCGGCAGACTTTTCAGCTCTGACATTTTAAGTAGGCATTGCCATGAAAGGGATATGGAGTGCCGAGGAAGGAGGGCCGCCTGGAACAGAGCTTCTGTTGTTTGTTTTGTGATTTCCGCTGCCACAGTCGTTGGCCCCACAATTATGATCACACACAGTTGCTTAGTGCTCGTATTCCCATTACCGGATCCCCTTGTCGTCCTCCAGTTCCTGCTGAAATAGAAATAGAGCCATGCGATGACTTCTCCTCCCCGACATAATAGGCGGGCTCAGCACAGTGCGGCTAAAAAGTATGCGAGCACTCACAGGCTCTGGCTTTGTGTTCATGTTTGCGTTCATGGCTGGGTAATTGCGGCGACGCCTTTTGGTAGCTCGATTGTGACATTCTGCAAACAGACCGGCTGAGCACACTGCCAAATCCGAATAATCACTTAAGATCTGCAGCGGTTTTGCACAGAGTGGGGAAAATAAGCTTGGAATTGGTGGACTGCTTCCAAATGTCAATCATTCCAAATAAATCAATTAGATTTTGGTGATGGTGTTGATTTAAATTGTATATCTACCTTTTTTAGCGACAGATTTTTTATTATTTATTAAATAACATATGTTCTTTGTACACCAACATTAATTTATGCTTTGGAAATCCTGCTGTTTTTCTTTTTACAAAATATAAAATATAGATTTGTAAAACAGGAATAAATTAGTACAAGTTTAAAGACAAGGCTTTAACACATAGAAACTTTGTTACCATATTATTTTATATTTTTTTTTAAAATTTAAATTCATAAAGTAAAATCTCAAAGACCTTTAAGCAGCCCAACAAATCTTCACTCCATCAAATTGGCCCTCTTTTCGTTCTGTCACTGCCAGATGCCCTTTTAGCTGGTTGTTTCCCCACTTAAGTACAGTAAGTAAACGGATGTTGACTCGCCTTTTGTGTTTTTTATGTAGCCAGCCTGGTGCAATTGTCGTTTTTTGTTTTGTTTATATTGTTAATTGTTGGCGCGTGCTTTCTATTCATTTGCAATGCGGCTTAAAGTAATAAAATAATTAAATAATTATTATTTTTTTCCACAGCGCGCCTTGGGGCTAATTTTAAATGTATGATTTAGGGGCTTTGTTCACGCGGCCTTCCCCATGAAATGTTTTTATTTAAGTACACCAGGACACACACGTCCTGCCATTCTTCAAAAAACCTCTGCTGCGACTTTTGGACAGTTTTATGGCTGGCATCATTCCGTCTTTTGAGCTCTTTGCTGCCAACTCACCCCTTATGTTCGCCTGGTGACTTATTGGCGTAAAAGTTTTAGAGCCGTTTGGCCAACAGTTGAGGCCGAAGGCCACTAGCCAGCAGCAGAGTTTCAGATCGTATTCTGTATTGCACCCAAATGTGAACCATTAAATATTTTACAGTCGTGCAACTGCGACGCGTCCAGATTTTCACAGAAAAAAATACAGGAAAACCCTTTTTTGTCTCTTGACTTTGCTTTTTAATGGAGAGTTATGTGTATTGGTTTGTTTGGCTGACGAAATACACAAATAATGGTTTCGCTTCCACTAGGATAACTTTAAGAGCAATTTAAAGTTAGGAGGCATTTCACAATTATAATAAAACAACTTAGAAATATCTGTTGCATTATAATTAACAAAAAAACACGCTTTATAAGACCTGCTATTAAAACTTCACGGAAGAATTCAATGATGTGTTTTTTTGTTTGTTCTTAATTTTTGTTAGCCCAACGGAAGTATATTGATATCGCATTTCGATAAATAAAACATAAACAAATTAATATTTTAAAAGACTTGTAAATAGATCAGTCAGGACACTTTATAATAACTCTTATTGTCGAACATCAAAAATATGTCCCAAAATAGCTGTATTTTAAGAGAGATATATACAAGTCTTTGAAATGGTGTTATTTCTTTACTATTTGTTTATAAGTACCCCGATAAAGTTTGATTGCACCAATCAATGGAGTGCATCAAAATAAACATTTCGGAATTTTTAGATACAAATCGATATATTTTGCTCCATATTTAAATTTAAAGGACGTAAAGAACTGTTATTATCAGTCCCTGCTCGTATCCTAAATCGTAAAAATATTTCTTAAAACGTAAACAAAATGTTCCTCCTTTCCTCATTGGCTTCCATTTGCCTGAAACATTCCTAAATACAGAACTTTAAATATTTCGCATACTGCGTGTTGTTAATAAATTACCCAAATTATGGACGCGGAGCCGTCAGGCGCAGTGGCCTCCAAAACTGGCGGCCCTTGAGTTCTGGGGGAACGGGTTGAAGCCGAGCTGGATCCCCACTAGAAGGCGACAGCTGACGGAGGGGCTGAAGAGGATGAGGATGAGGATGAGGACGGGGACGACGACGAGGTCGTTGAGAAGTGGCTGCCGTTGACGGTGTCGGCATCTTAATAAATTTCCATGCGCAACACTTTGACGTTATTAATACGCTGGGGCCTCGAGTGCCACGCACGCACCTAAAACCGCTAACCAAATGACGGCGAATTTGCTTAATTACACGGCTTATCCGCAGCAGACAGCCGACGAGTGCGGTTGCCAACACGAGGGTTCGAACCTCGAAGGGAAAATTAATTTCGAGCTTCACAGAACCCCAACGTTTAAGATACCGCTCTACATTTATTTGCTTAAAATTCGATCGCAATTTATGGGCTACACGAATTGAAATAGAAATAGGACAGCCTGTCTGTGCAGTTGGAGAGGTGGCTTAATTAAATAAGAGGAAATTCCTTCGGCCACAAGTTCATTGAAATGCGTAAAGCACACAAGTTTAACTAAATGGTAATGAAGTAGGGAATCTAATTTAGTGGCTAATTTGCTAGACATCTTAAGGCCGCTTCCGTCTGTCTGTCAGTTCACAGAAATTTCAATGAACAAAAAAAAAACTCACTTTTCACCTTATCATGTTTAACTGCCAAGTTACCGAAGCTTGCTAAGCCCGCATGACCTTATACACTGGGGAAAATGTTTTGGTAAGAACTTTAGAGCCATTTATTATTACTTCAAAAATGAGTTATTCATTCATTTCATTTTTTAAATAATAAATATAACTTGCACAGATGGAAAAAAAAATGAAGTTCAATTTGTTACAAAAAATCTGATATATTCCTAAATCTTTTTGTAAAAAATCGAATATTTAATGTATGTTAAGTTATTTATACTGTACATTTTAATGTTTAAATGGGAAGAATGCCTTTATGACCATTTGTCACATTCCAAATCTATTATCATCTGAAAGTCTTTTAAAAAATATAAAAATTAATTTCTCTTGATGTACTCCTAAATTGACTTGGCAAAGGCATTGATGAGCCCCGCCCAGCGATGTTAGCAAATAATCTTTCTGCTCCGGCATATTCTCACTGTCAACGGAATAATCAGCCGGGCGGGCTGACATGTTAAGTCACTTTGTCGTCAGGACACACATCCCGACCATCCGACCATCCGACAATCCGACCTCCAGACCTCCCGACCATCAGAACCCACTCCCATTTTCCCAGCAAATTACATGTCTCGGATTTGAATGCTTCGGTTATTTCCTTTTCTTTGGGCGGGTGTTTGTTTGTGTTTTGTCTTGTGGCATTAGTTTAAATTAATATCAGGACAAGGTATAGAACCAGCCCAACCCGCATGCAACCTTGCCGTGTTTTTGGGCTCCACTTATTCGGCTTTGGGTTGGCTAACGAGGCGAATGTGCGGCGATTGGAGCAATAGCCTAAATTAAAATGTTTTGCCAGATAAACATTAATTGTTGACTAAACCAGGACAATTTGTGGAGCACCTGGGGCTGGCTCAAGGAAAAGAGGAGTGCTTTAAGAAAAGCTGCCTGAAAGGTAAGCAGGTGATGAGCTGATTTAATTTGGGGATTGGCGTTTCTTTTGTTAATTTAGGTAGCTCCTAATCTACCAATTTCTTTATAAGACATGATATTGATTCCAAAATATAAATGTTTATTAAAACTAACAAAAGCTTCGATCTGAGGGCTTAAGAAGAAGGGTCGATTTGTCAAACGTCATTGCAGACAAATTCGTCCTCTAGAAATTCGTCAAGTGAGGCAGCTGGCCCAAATCCCCTGTCGTCTCTAAGCCACTCGTCATGGTCAATACCCTTGATTTCGCACACGACCTTGAAGATTAATTCCTCCTTTTTGGTGTAATAATCCGGTGAACCTACGTTCGTATCTAGTAGATCGGCTTCTCGTTTGAGCTGCAGAAGTTTCTGGCGAAATATTTGGACGTCTTTATTGAGTTCTTCGGATGACTTTAGGGTAAGCGAGGCCAGAAATTCCGACAGGTGGGACTGGGGAAAGTTTATGAGCCAACTTCACATATCATTAAACGGTTCTGGACTTACCACATTCGCCTGACTTCTCAGCAGATTCTCATCGTGGGCAAACTCGACCGCATATTTGAAGCTATCCATGGCGCTGATTCCAGCTTGGCAAACGGATTCGTTGGAGGTCTGGGGCAAACTGTCTTGGCTGTCGGGGCTTCGGGCTCGTCACCATTTATTGGCCTGCAATTTGTTTACATTATGCATGGTGTGAGTCGATTTGTTCCGATCCCCCAACCCCAAGCCCAACCCCACCCACATCCCAGCCCCTTTGCCAAGGCTTCCTATCTGGGCCTGCGGATTGTTTATTTTCGTTACCACTCATCGATGTCGCCCAGTTCCCCCAACTTCCTCTACGATCCCCGCTAGAAGTGTAGCGTTTTGACACATAATCAAAACAAAAATGCCCACTCAGCTGGCAAGTGTAACGCAAATGAAGTCTTTAAATTTCAATTAGTTAACTAGAATAAAAGAACAATAAGTATTCATAAAAACTCAGCTTTCTTAGAAATCAAGTTCTCGGAATAAAATTCTGTTGACTAGAAATGACTAGAAGACAATACAAATTCTGTTTCGACTACTATGTAAACAAAATATACAATTTCATCTTTTTTCTGTTATATTCAAGGAAGGAAAATGTCTTCATTCTACTTTAACTTCGATGTTCCATAAAAATGATTATTATGAGCATTTCTAAATTTAATTTATCAGCTCCCCGTGAATTTAAACAAACACAAGCTCTGCGCGGAAAACCTTACAACCTCTGACATTACAACATTCTTTTTCAACTTATATATATACAAAATTTACAACTTAAATATTTTTCGGATATATTCACGGATAGGTTTCATAAAAATGATTATTCTTAGCATTTCTAAAATGAATTTATCAGCTCCCCGTGAATTTAAACAAATACAAGCTCTGCGCGTGCTAGCTATAAATCAGAATGATATCGGGCCCACACAAGAAATATGTTTACCCGGTAAAATTTTGATTTCTCGCAATGGGCGACCCAAAGAACGCCAAACAAAAGTTGGTAAAGCTACCATAAACGAGCTTTGTGCTCAAGCTGCTGCTGTAAAAAAGCAAATAAAGCAGATATAGCGCCACGTGAAATGCAAGCCAGCAAGTGTAAACAGATTCAAAAATAAACAGGAATGAATATTGCGAACGGCACCGAGAAAAAATGAAACAGTAGAAGGTCGGACTCATAAAACTTCAGTTCTCTATGAAATTTTCGGTTTGTTTATAAAGGTTTTTGGGTAGGCACTCAGAAAAATTCGAAAAGAGGTAGAAGCTTTAGAGAAGAGCTATAAAGATTGAAGAATTGAAGGCTGCCTGATAGTTCAAATGAAATATTTGTTTATTGATTTGGGACTCAAAGATATAAATATCCTTATAAGTTTTATTATTGAAAGCTTGTACGTTCCATTTGAAGTATGTCACAAGCGATTCAGAAGTCTCACAAGTCCCATTTCGACTGTATTTAAATTCCCCTAATCAAGTAATTATGTCTTTATTAGTCGCTGAAGTATAAGCTGAATTGCTGCAGTCACTCAAGTCGATGGCACATAGAATTGACGGCAACGAACTCAATAAGCTTCTACGACGCCTTGAGTCCTTGTCTTGGAGTCCTGATGACGTGGAAAGGAAATAAAATAAATCAGGGCTCATTAGAGGCCTCGAGGTAGACACGACACAAGTTGCTTGGGCTCCCATGTGCGATTTCGCCCATTTCAGTGCACCAAAGCAGAGTCGACAGTCGATGTCAACTTAATCATCGTCAAGACAACAGATTCGGCGCCTCCAGGAGTGGAATTTCAACTCCTTTTCCGGCGATAACACGACATATTGCCAGCTCATTACGCCCGACTGTCTGCAAGTGTGGGAGTGTCTAATGTCTAGCTTCTATCGTCTATCGTCTAATGGGTATGCCTTCTTTTGTCAGCCCCCCTACATATTCAGCGGCTTTGTCTCGGCCCTAATAATAGCAATATTACACAAGTAATTAGTCACGCATTTAATTATTATTTATGTGCTTTGTCACAGGGTGCGGGTTATCTTCCTGGGGGGACTCCAATCCCATCCATCCTTTTGCTCAACTATACATATGTATATCAGTGCGTGTTCCTAACAATTATTACATGTAATTATCCACTCGAATGCCTGTCCCTGAATCATCAGTAAATTTATATGACACATCAGATAAAAGTTGGTAGGTCTGTTCTGGATTGGCATGCTATTAGCATACGGAAGTAAATTATGTGGGAAATCTGCATAGCTATTTCTGTAATATTGTCTATGAGATTATAAATTCAATTTTATATTTTGGTATATCTGGGACTACTTTGATCTTTCTTTTAAATTATTATGCATGGAACTGGGTAATATAACTGTAATTAATTCAATTATACAAGTATGTATATATTAATCAACACATACTCGTATAACTAATTCCTGGCAGAAATTAATACGAAACCATTAGGACCAATCCAATCGAAATGTTTCTTAAATGTACGAGAGCAGCTGTCGTAGTCAATTGGGTTAAAGTTAAAGTTCAATCACGTAAATCACGTGGCCGAATCTCAAGATGTCGGCTTGGGGAAACTTTCATCGATTAAAAAGTTTCTGCCCTGCCCAAGTATTATCAGCTAGTCAAAGCGAAACTTGTAGTCGACAGCTGCCGAATGGGAAAATGAGATTTGTTTGTTGCATAATAATTGGGGGCAGTGCGGCCGGCTTCAAGTGCCCAGAATCGAATTCAAGAGTTGCGCCAAAAAGGCAGCCGGAAACCAAAAATAATACGGCAGATTGGCGAAGTCAAATCTCTGTTGATTGGCCTGGCACGTTTCCTTGTCAGCTGTTTATTGAGGCGTGATATAATTAGCATAACATCGACACGGATTCCGCACCAAAGGCAGTGGGAAAAAGGAAAAAAAGTGAAGGAAAAGCGGGCAAAGACCAGGCTTAGACGCAATTTGCTTAATGCTAAAACTTTTAATCACTCATACGCTCCGTGGCGCCAAAGAAAAAGCCTGAGCGCCGGCAGAGGAAAAGCAAATTTTACGTCAGAGAAAAGATGGGCCGCTTTCCCCGTCCCAAAGGCAAATAGTAAACAAAGCGTTGGGTGAAATGAAATAAGTGTAAATACGACAAAAATTCACTGGCACACAAAACACATACAGAGATGCTCACTCAAATGCGTATGTATGCGCATCTGATTAAACACAAGTGTATATGCCCCTGCATATGTGTGAGTTGGGCCCTGCTTATACGAATTTTCTCCCCAGCGAATGAGGCCCTTTGGGTCCCTTACCCAAAAAAAAAATCATCTGCCTTTGCCTTAAGCTCGAGTTTAATTCCTGCTTTGACTTCTGCAATGCCCACTAAAAACGCCAAGTACAGTGGACACTCTAGATTCAAAAAAATGGGTAAAAGAAATGCACAAACTTTTAAAAAACGTTCTGCTCCGATCTCTACCAAACAATTGATTTTATAATGGATTTTATTTTTTTTATCCTCAGTGGAGGATCCAATAGTTGGTTGTGGGGGATATTAAAAAAAATATGTTGAGTAGAAATAAAAAATTTGAAATTAAATACATATTACATATACTTTTTAACCCGAGCGGGGGGACTTATACCCTATAGCCTCAACGTGGATCCACGTATGGTTATCCTTTATCCATATCCTATGTATATCTTATTCTTCCTATTGCTAATAGACTAACATGTTACAACAAAACAACTTAAAAATGAAGTATACATTTTATTTTTTTTTAAAGCTTATATGTAAATTTAATAAAAACAATTAAAACAATAAATACATATATATATAAATTATCTATATTTTTGATTACAAGAACTTAAAGTAAGTTTTTAACAGAGTCCACTGTACAATTTTATTAACGTTCTGAGCTTGCCAAAAGGGTATTCTACTGGGTATTTTAAATATGTATTCAAATGTTGCTCAGTAAAATATGTTTATATTGATTATTCAAAAGGTAATATAATATTTATGACTATTTCCCCCGTTTTTACCGAAAATAAATCATAAAAGTGGAAATTTATTACTCTTTAAGATGGTCTTTACTAAATTACAACTTTAGATGATTAAATAAATATCATTTTTGACAGTTTGACTTTTGAGAAAAAATGGAAATTTGTGACTTGGCCAACTTATCTTTTTCTTTTGTGAAAAACTTTTTAGAACGAAAGGGTGTTTGAAGAATCATGTCCTCAAAGTTCGACGTTTCGTCTTTTCTTGTGGTTTTTCCGTTCTTCAGATTACAATGTAAGCTGCGGCGCGTTTAAGTGCGACTGTGTGTGTCAGTGGGCTTGGATGGCGGTGAAAGAGGGTGCTGTGTGTGCTGTGTGTGCCGACCTATTTGCTTAAACACACTCTAACTGGCACTCAGCCCACTTCTCCACGCCTCCGAGCAAAGAACTGCGCCCTCGGAAAACGGCTGGCTGCGCCTTCTACTTTCTACTTTCGCCTCTCATAACACATTAGCGAAAGTGAAAGCCGCCATAATGACTGCCCCCAGTTGATTTCCATTCGCCTTTCGTGTCTGCCCCGCATTGCGAGCTCTTGTGCCCATACATTTATATTAGTTGAGCGAGACACCGAAAACGAGGAAATGCAAATTGGCGGGATTGAGAATGATGATGGGACGTTCTGAGCCCTGAAAGGCGATTACTTGAGGTTTTTGTGCCAAAAGTTAATTATTTTGCTTAAACGAAACAACGAGACTTTAGATAAAACATAACTATCATTGGTACATATAAAATATCGTTTTATAGGGACAGTGATACTTTAAAATGTAAGGTTTTAGGGGATTCTATGTAAAAAACTTTTCTAAGATAGAAAAATAATTAATATTGAAAGGCGAAAAAAGATATGAGTTCTTGCAGGCCATAGTTGAATCATTCATATTCACAAAGAAAAATATATGATGATTATAGATGATGATAGAAAATAATAATAACGTTTATAAAATTCAGTATCAGTTCTTTCTAGATATGGTTGTATAACTTTGATATGTTTGCTCTCTTTCTATTCAGAGAATTTCGAAAATTGATGTCTCGCTTTTTCCCAAAATAATTTAGGCTTTTTATCGCTCCATTCTCTTTAAATGATGAGAAAAATTCCTAAGAGAGACAAATTTTGAAATAAA